ACCCAGGCCTGCGGAGGAGGTACTGCCCCCCATCCCCACGGCCCAGCCACTGGTGGGCCAGCGGGGCCTCTCAGAGGAGGGCAGGGCTGGGAGTATCCAGGGCAGGACAGGGCAGAGCAGGGGCTGGTCCAGGGGCAGGGCCCTGGGGACAGGGCTGGGAAGGGGCAGGGCCATATCCAGGGCAGAGCCTCTCGCCTAAGAGCTCACAGCTGTGCGAGGAGGCAGCCGCCCAGTGCTGCCCGCCCACCGGAGCTACCCAGAGTGACCGGGGCAGGAGGGGTGCAAAGGCAAAAACAAAGTGGCATTGGCCCTGAGGCTCTCGGAGGTACTGTTGCGAGGGGTTCGGGCAGTCCAGTGAGGCACTAGTGGCAGTCCCATGACAGCCTGCCCTCCCCAGGTTTCCAGTTCACCAAATATGGCTGCCGGCGCCGACGGGACCACCACATGGTGCAGCTGCACCTGTGCGACTACAGGAAGAGGCCCAAGCCCATCCGCAGACGCTGCAACCAGCACGCGTGTGCCCCGCCCACGTGAGTGCCCCCCCCCGGGGGCGGGGCTGCCCTGAGAGCCGGAGCAGAGCCCTCCCCGCCCCTCTGCCCTCTTTGGGGCTCTGGAGATGAAGACGCATCCCTTGTTCTCAGCCTTGTCTGAGGGTCATAAAGGCCCACTTTAGAGACGGGGGTGGGGTGGGGTGGGGTATCAGGGGAAAAGGACTTCAGTGCTCATGGCCCCCCACCTCTGTGCCTGTGGCTGCCCGCCAGTGTGAGCTGGGATTCCTCCCGGGGAGACGGGCTCCCTCCGGAGGGGTTTCTGCTTACGAAGCTTCTGACGCAGCCCTCAAAGGGACTGCGGTCAAAAGACACCTGGAGGCGGCGCACGGATGACTGAAGGCCCCACGGTGGGTGATGGTGCCAGTGGCTTGGGGCTGCTGCTCGGCAGTGCCTGCTGCACACCGCGAGATGCCCGGTGGCTAGTGTTTAAGCTGTTGAGTCAGAGCCACCCCACTCCAGTGAGTTGGAGTCCCGCGGTGGAGGTCACAGGCTAGGAAGCCCGAGAGGGCAGTCCATGGAGGCACAGTGAGGCCAGGCCTGCGCAGTGACACATAACAGCACAGCACTGCACGCCAGGCACCCTGGATACTAAGTCCTTTGTCCCAAAGGCCCATCAAAGAGGACCGTGTACACTGTATCCTATTGACTGTGGCTTCTGTCTGGTTTGTACACGGCTCTCTCAGCACCTGGGACAGGGTCTGCACATGGTAACAAACCCAGCCACGCCCACAGCCCCGGAGTAGGTGCCCCTCATAGTGTCCCTGTGGGACAGGATAGAACTGCCCCTGTGAGTTTCTGTGAGTGCCACTCTTTATGGAAGTAGAAAGCCTCATCTTTGTCCTGTGGAGCGGCTGGTGGTTTTGAATTGCTAACCTTGCGGTTAGTAGCCCAACGGGGCTCCACTGTTACCAGGGCACCTCCCACACTGTAGACATTCAAATATTTGTGATGTGTTGTGAGAATCCCGATTTTAAGATCGCCCTTGGGTGGTACACATGGTTCATATTCACCTACTAAGATAAAAAGGAGGGTGGGTCAGCCCCATCCGGAGGTGCCCTGTCAAGCCCCCTCCCCCTCCAGCTTCCATCCCCATCTGTCCCCAGGTGGGTGACGGAGGAGTGGGGTCCTTGCAGCCGGAGCTGCGGGAAGCTGGGGGTGCAGACTCGGGGTGTGCAGTGCCTGCCACCCCCGTCCAACTACACGCACAAGGCCCTGCCCGCCCAGGCCTGCCCCGGGGAGCGGCCGGAGGCCCGGCGGCCCTGCCTCCGTGTGCCCTGCCCGGCCCAGTGGCGCACTGGGGCCTGGTCCCAGGTGAGTCCCCTTCAGGAGGGTGGGAGAGGCCTTCTAGGGGGCAGGGAAGGAGAGGAAAAGGGCAGGCCAGGGCCAGGGATGTGGGGGGTGGGATGGGATGGGGAGGGTGGGCAGAGAGCTTTGGAAAGATCCAGTGTTCCTTGCAGGCAGCGCACTTCTGACTGAATTTCTTTCTCGTCGGATATGACGTGGTTATTACCAATACGCAGTCCCGTCCTATGCTCACCCCCCACACCCTGCCCACCACCCCATGCCACTGCTCTATGCTGCCCTGGCTGTCCCCTTCAGGCTGTCCAGAGCCAAGAGGCATGATAATGCCCCCACCTGACAAAGGAGCAAATTCAAGCACATTCTTTCATTGCACTAGGAAGGCCTGGGGCACAGCGCCAACCAGACAGCTCTCATGGGGTTCACAGTCCAGCTGGGGGC